CAGAGTAAAATGTACAAAATAAACATAAAGAGAATGGGGAAAGAGAGTACAATAGAAGTCATTACCTTTTATGTATTTTTATTTATAAGGCTGATAATATGATAGCTCTTGCTAAGCCTATTGCCAAGTAACAGATATGGTATGATGGGATGTTTTGAACCATTATTACTCATATGGTGACTCTCTTTTTGCAGCACACTTAAACCATTTTCTGGAGATTTATTGTCAACAGAAGTATCCTTTTGGAAAGCTCTCCTTATTGTAGGTACTTTCGCTTAGCTTTATGAAATTTTAAGTTGATTGTACAAAAACAGAAATAGTAACTTATCTTTTCACTAAGCATGTGGTGCTTTGACACACTCACCTACTAAAATCATGCCTTAAAAAGATTGGATCTTTCATTATACCATGGTGTACCACTTTTGCCTATGATAGCTAGTTGTTAGTTATTCTGAAGTCTTATATAATATATTGAAGAAACTACATGAGTTTAAATATTTAAAGGCCAAGTAAATATCAACAATTAATCTAAAATTTCTAAGGCAACAACTGAGAAAAATAGACAAAAGCCTCTACCAACTTCATTCATTAGACACAAAAAACAGCGTAACAGAGGAGAAAACGATGTAACATAAGCAACAAGTTCATCTCACGTAAAAAGACACAGAACCAGCCCCACACTTCATATACACTATCACCAGTTCAGATTAACCAATTGAAGGATTTAGATTGATTAGTCTTATTTGATTTGATTTCCTTCGTCATCTGAATTCAATATGTGAATTGGTTGATTTGATATTACTTGAGGGTTTTCTTTCTTCTACAGCATTCATTGTTTTTAATTAGGAATCAAAAGAAATTTGCTAAATTTAATACATTATACAATGAGGTATATCTGTAGGTATGATCTGGTTCATCTCATTCACAAATTTTATTTTTTTTTATAATTGTATGTATGCATATTTCTAAAATTTGCTTGAGAGGTTGGTACAAATTACGAAGGAGGATAATGAAAGGTTCTTGCTAAAGCTCAAGAATCGAATGGAGCAGTAAATATTAGACTTTGAATTAAGTTTGTTTGTTGTTTGTTTTTTGGTTTGTTTGATTAATTGGGTAATTTTTTGGTGTTTTTGGGGTTGGTATTGATAATCCAATGATTGAGGTCCGATTCAAGCATTTGAGTATTGATGTAGAGGAAGTTGTGGGGAATCGAGGACAAACTTGAACAACATCGAAGACAACACCAAATGTAAGAACATGTTGAGACAAAATGCAGTTTGTTCCTTCTTGCTAGTGTATCATTTGATTTGGTATGTATAGAAAAAGATATAATCTTATTTTTTGTGCATTTGTTTTTTAAACTTTCTTTAAGAAAAACTTTCTTCTGCTCTTAGCTCTCTAATTTGCTTTGTAGGTAGCTGTTATTGTTACAAATTTATTCTTGTTTATATATCGTTATATTTCCTTAGGAAAGATAATTCAAATAAAATCAAACAAAGGTTGCAAAGATGATCTGAATATGAATATCTTCAAACTAACTAGATCTGGTTTTTGATGGGTAGCATGATTGGAAAAAGAAAATACAGAGTTAATTTTCACACGACAGGATTATTAGCTTTAAATTTTGGCTTAGTTATAGATCTCCCTTGCACTTAGCAAATATACAACTGAAATTTTCACTATGTTGCCATTGTTCTAGAAGAAAATTTTATGTAACTATATGTCACTGACTCATTGTTTTTTGTAGGTTGAAGTGAATGGAAAGGAGGCTACTACTCTTTATAAGTTCTTGAAGAAAGGAGGTTTTTTTGGTGATGACATCAAGTGGAATTTCACTAAGTTCTTTGTGGACTAAGATGGAAAAGTCATGAAAAAATATACACTGGCAACCTCACCTTTGAAAATAGAGGTACAATTTTGACAGTGTACTGTATAATTTTACTTTACTTTTATTTGTACTTATTATTTCAAGTATACTTTATCTTTCAAAAAACAATACAGAGGTTTTTGGGGTTTGTAGGAATTTAAGTACCTTCTTTGGGGGACTATTTTGCCGGTAATGTGAGTATGTGATCTATGTATACATAAAGGGATGCTTCTTCTAGAATACTTGTATATTGCTGGAAATTCATTAACTTCTTGTTGTATGCAAGAAATATTATTTATTTTTAATTATTGACTTTCAACAATAAAGCTATGTTTGCAAGCTATCATGTTGACTCTTTCTTACTCTCATTGTATGTATATCACCGTGCTAATCGAATACTTTCCTGGTTTGTAATGTGATGCTGAATATTAGTTATTTAAAGTTAAGATCAACTTACATGTACTTAATTGTGCAGTCACTTTTATCAGGCGCAACATATATATGGTTGATTAGGTTCCTTCTCTATGGACATTATTCTAAGTCTTGTGAGATAATGATTAATTGGCATTCATCTTGTGTATTGTGTATAAGTTCAATGCATAATTATGGAATTATTATGGATTTTGACTCATGTTGTTTCTTAATATGCATCACGTGCAATGCACGTATTGCATACTAGTGAGTTAAAATTATATAATCTCATGATACTAACCAAAAAATCCACCGGCTTGGAACCGGGCACCTTTGGTAACAACCGGACTAGCCCAACTAGGCTTAGTAACCCCTCCAATGGACAAAAGAACTCGAGCTAGGTCGAGCTGCCTAGATCGAGCTCGATGCTCTTAATGGAAAAAAAACAACAATGGTAGGGGTAGTGAACAGCTAGGCTCGGTACCTCCTCCAACGGGCAAAAAAACTTCGGTACGGTCGAGTTGCCTGGACCTAACCTGATGCTTGCAATGGCCAAAAAAACACTAGTAGGGGTAGTGGATCAACATCAAGAATTTTTTAACTGCACCTTTAGTAACATGTCTGGATAATAAATTGGACTTTGATCTTTTGTCATGGTAGTAGACATATGGATCAACTTCATATTCTATACTTTCCAGCATAGCTCGTGATTTGCTAATAGTGTAAGTTTCTACTGTAACTTCGGAAGCGTTATCAACAATTCAAGACAATTGATCAATGACCATAGAATGATGCCGGATCTGGAAATAGTATAAGCAGCAATGTGCTTCAAGATTGATGGATGTCTGAAATGAGACGTCAAGGCATCAAAGCTGCATCTCCTATTAAAGGACTTGAAGAGTTGGAGATAATAGATGAAGAATAGAAAATAAAATTATTTATAATTTTTTAAATATAATGTTTATTTTTTTGGAAAGAGTTGCAAATGATATTAATATAGAAGGGTGGGCACCCAAGTTGGGATGTACAAATACTATTATTATTCGACATTAAAAAAATAATGTAATTATGAGTGATTGATAACATGATAGAATTTTTTTCTATTTTTTTATTCTTTTGAAAATTATAATTGTAATTCTGACTGATTAATAATAAGATTAATTTTGTCATAATTTTTTTATTTTTTTAATTTTATGAAATTTAAAAACATTTAAAAAACATTGTTTGGTCGAGCTACCCGCTGACCAGCTTGGACACTACCCGCACCCAGCCCGGATAGTACCCGGACCTAGATCGGGCCCTCCATGTCCGGACACGGATCTTTACCAGTCTCCCATCCGATGACCCAGGCCATGATGGTGCTGTCCGGCCCGTTTGGACACCCCTGCTCATGATCCCTTTTTTTCAGTTCTTCCAACTTTGTGCTGATCTAACATGGATAATGGAGTGTGTCACTACACCAAAATTCTCTATATCTCTCAATGGATCATTACATGGGTACTTTAAAGGAGCTAGAGGGTTAAGACAAGGTGACCCCCTATCACCTTATCTTTTTGTGATTGGTATGGAATATTTGTCAAGGAAATTAAGCACTCTTAAGGAGGACCCTATCACCTTATCTTTTTGTGATTGGTATGGAATATTTGTCAAGGAAATTAAGCACTCTTAAGGAGGACAAATCTTTCAAATTCCATCCTAAATGGTATGGAATATTTGTCAAGGAAATTAAGCACTCTTAAGGAGGACAAATCTTTCAAATTCCATCCTAAATGCTCTAGAATGAGTATTACTCATTTGATCTTTGCAGATGATTTGCTTCTTTTTAGCAAGGCTGATCTGAATTCAATAATAAAAATGCACAATTGCCTGCAAGAATTTAGTCAAGTATCTGGTTTGAAGGCCAATTCTAGCAGGTGCTCTGTTTTCCTGAATGACATTGAACAAAGTTTGAAGGATCAAATATGCTCATATTTGAACTTTTCAGAAGGTTCCCTGCCTATGAGATATTTGGGTATGCCTTTGATATCGAAAAGATTATCGTGGATGGACTGTTCTCCTCTAATTAGCAAGATATCAGCTCAATTTCAAAACTGGCAACAGAATAAGAAGTTGTCTTATGCGAGGAGGCTTCAACTGATAAAATCAGTGATCTTGGGGATTCAAAATTTTTGGACAAGTAATTACATTTTTGCCGAATAGAGTGCTTGAAAAAATTGACAGCTTATGTTCAGCCTTCTTTTGGGGAAAGAAAATTCACTCACTTTCTTGGAGTGCAGTTTGTTAGGAAATGAAGAAAGGGGGACTGGGGCTTTATTCTGCAAAATGTTGGAATTATGCAGCGACAATTAAGCTGCTATGGATGATACATCTCAAACAAGATCTGCTTTGGATTAAGTGGGTCCATGGGAATTACCTACAGAATGCAACAATTTGGCAGGCTCAACAAAAAGTGAATGACTCTTGGATGTGGAAACAAATTCTTAGGGTGAGGGACATGATGTTAAAAAATTTTGGTACTGCTAGAATTTGCCAGCAAATGATAACTGATTGTTGCAAAGGAGGAAAGCTTCGTATATCCTCTATCTATAAAGTTTTAAATCAAGCAGCACCTTCAATTAGATGGGCTGACACAGTCTGGGGGGGATTACATTACCCCGAACACTCTTTTACTCTATGGCTAGCAAACCATTCCAGGCTTTTGACGCAAGATAGGCTTTGCCGAATGGGATTATTGAGCAGCAACCTATGTGTTTTATGTACCAATAGTCAGCTGGAGATGTGCAAACATTTGTTCTTTGAATGCCAGTTTTCTAGTGATGTCTGGAATAAGGCTATGAACTGGATGAACTTCTCTTGGAAATATTGTGACTGGGATCAAATTACTGACTGGTATAGTTCCAGGCTTAAAGGAAAAGGTCTCACACAGAAAGTGAAGAGAATGCTTCTCTCGACAACAGTATACTTCATATGGCAAGAGAGGAATTCGAGAATCTTTCAACGAAAAGCTAGGGGACCTGAAGTTCTATTCCGCATCATCAAAGTCTCCATATACTCAAAAGTTCTGAATGAAAAGCTTCCTTCACACTTGAAAGAAAAACTTGAAAAATTGTAAATCTTTTCTTTGTTTACTACCAGGATTCTTTAACTGGTGTTCTTGATGTAACACAAACTTACAAATTTGGAAGGTGAATAAAGTTTTATTTCATTGACGTACCAAAAAAAACTTTGTGCTGATCCTGTCCAGCCGGTTTGGACACCCCCGCTCTTGATCCCTTATCTTTTCAGTTCTTCCAACTTTCCTTCTTCATCGCCGATATATTCCCGATATTTCCCTCTCCCTTTTTCCCCCCTACAATTCTCGTGGAAACTTTTCATCTCATGCATGGATTTGTGCCAAATATCATCTTAAAAAGGGGGGAGAAAAATTAAAACTAAACCCATCCAGTTTCGATAGAGATTCAAAATTATCTGTACATGCGGTTCTACTTCACTTCTATATTTGTAATAAAGATACATCATACCATACGCACGCTCCATCACACAACGCAACGCAACGCAATGCGTCGAAACCAATCCTAAAGAACCATAGCTCCGGCCCCGGCGCGCGGCGCCGGCGTCGAACCCGACAGTCCGACTCTTAAGCGTCCCGCTTTTCCGGCGCCTGCCGAAGAGCCCCAGCAACGACGTCTGGGAACGCGATTAACCGTCCGCCGATAGGCCCGAGCCACTTGCGAGCATGATACCTGCTCTTCCTCCACGGCGGCCCACGCTCAGCCCCCTCCCCTTCATCGACAGACCTCTCGCCGCTCCGACCATCGTCTCTCACCGCCTGCCTTCACCTCGTCGCCCCTCCCACCATCACCTCGGCACCACCGCATCAACTCCCCTACTCTTCGTCGGCCTCGCGATCTCAACTCCGCCGAGAACCCAGGCTCCATCAATGACCTCTCCTCGCCGCCGCGACCAACGACGTCGACGTACTGTGGCTTGCCGCGGCCAGCGCGCCGCTGCCCTCCACTTCGCCTTGCACACGCCGGCATTGTACCCGCCCCCCTTCAGCCGGGCCAGCACGCCCGCTGTGACCCGGCTCCGCTCGGCCTCAGCCACGCCCAGCACCTCCGACGTCCTCACCACGTCCGCGTAGAGCCGAGGCGCGACGCCGTCGGGCGACTTCCGGAGCGGGTCCAGCGCGCGCCGCAGCGCCTTCCCAGGCCAGCAGCGGCCCCGCCCGCCGTCACCCACAAACCGGTCGCGTCCCCCGGCAACCGCGGCCGTCTACACGTGCCGCTGCGTCGAGTCGTCGGAGCTTCGAAGAACTCGCAGACGAGGCCGACAGGCTCGAGGAGGCCGCCGCGTCGACCTGCGCCTTCGATGCTCGCCTCCCGCTCCCGGCGGTGCAAATCGTAATGCCAGTCTCGGCCCCTGACCAGCATGCTCTCATCCAGACGGGCCCGAAACCCGCTTGCCAGTTATCGGCATTGCCATTTTCGAGTGAGGGAAGAGGCGTAGAGGTATCCGGGCCCCTTGCTCATCCCATTTATAGCAGAACTTTTTGTTGAGGGAAAAAGGAAAGCTCAGCTCAGCTTCCGAAGGAGTGATAAAAAATTGTTGGTGCTATGATGACCGAAAAACATGAGACTTTATATGGGACATATGAGATAGATGAGATGTGAGCTTCATAGGATCCTATGATGTACTAAAAAACACAAGACTCTATATCCGACAGATGAAATGTGAGCTCCATGTCTTATAATGCACTGTTTATCAATAGCGTGTATCACGGGACAGAGAGCCAACACCTCATATGTTTCATATTTTTAGGTTAACGCTAGAGCATTTTTCATAAAAAAAAAATGAAGAGGATAAATATCCGCACTGGCATTGGTCTATTTCCCTGGGATTGAGATGACGTGATTAAACGATAAATAACGTTATCTACGGACGAAAAGTTTTCAACACTTTTGGAAGCATATGCGGAGCTTATTCCTCACGATAAGGTCGAGAAACACGTGTTTGGCTTCGGCCATCAGCCCCCCCAACCACTTCAGGGTCACGTGACCGAGCGGGGGGGTGGGTGGGATCTGTGGGGCCCTGAAGGTGGACAGTTGGCTTGGCTTGGCCCTTGGGCTCAAGGAGGAGCCAGGGTTAAAATGGGACGGAGACTTGGTTCGTGCCTTTTGCTCAAGAAGATGAGGTCCACGTCAGATGGACACGTCGTGGGTTAGAAGTAAAAGCGTACGGGTTTAATTCGCCCCCTCCAAATTATTACCATTTACATCCCCCACCCGCAGTAAATCCATCTCCTTCGTGAGTTGGATTAAGTTCTGATGTTTGGTTGATCGAAAAACTAGAAGAGTGGTACGCAGAGGCTCGATTATCATTGTCACGCCGCTGCTTTCCGAAATGTGATTGCTTTGTAGGACGACAAGACTCGATGTATATATTAACGTTCGGCTAAATTCAGTGAAATTAAAGTGTCTGTCCCTATGTATCAGTGGGCCAGCTAATAATTAAGGAAATCTTGGCAAGAGGGGACTTTGCCAAGGTGTCGACCCTCTCTTGAATTGCTTCTGGTTGTTAGAATAAAATGATTGACAACCGGGAACACGAGAGGTTTTATAATGGTTCAGATAACAATCCTACATCTACTCTTTCTTCTCGCGAAGTGGCTTGCTCGCTATGCAAAGAGTGCTCCTAAATCACAAACGCAATTCAGTAGACTTACGAGACCACGAGTACGCCATAAAAACAAGTTTAAAAAAAACCAACACAAATAGTTAATGTTTAGAAAATCAAGTAAGGTCTTATAACCCTTTTGTTAAACAAACCGTCCTTCGAAGAATATAAGTGTATCTCGATGAAGAATGATGAAGAAAATTAAACCAAGAGCAACTCTCTTCGCTGAAACAATCTAGATTGTGCGACTTGAGTGAGAGATTATCGAGGCTTCATGGGTCAAATTCTTCAACTTGATCTCTCACAAATTAAAATCCTAAAACTCTTTTCTCTCTCTCTCTCTCTCTCTCTCTCTCTCTCAATGATATAAAGTCTTCAATAGATCAGGAAAGAGATTTCCTAAACTTGCTAAAGATTAGAGATATTAGGAAAGATGAATGGTTGAGATTAAATTTGAAAAACTGTAATATGCCAAAATGGTGGCTCTTGACCATCAATGACGTCGAGGCTCTATCGATGGTTGCAAGGTCAATTGACGATATGAATGTGTTTGGAGTAAAAATCATCGATGATATTGATTGACCATTGATGCGCTCTTCTTATACCTATATTTACATATTATTTCAAATAAATATTAGTACCTAATAAGAGTTTGTTATTATTCAAACAAGAGATATTGTACGGACTACGTCCTAACAATCTCCTCCTTTTGATATTAACAAACCTGAAATTTAAAATATCAAAATACACAAATATTTTGAGATGTATAAAAATAGTAACAATAGGCACAAATATACCCTCATATGAAAGAAAATGATATACAATGCTCCTCTACATTCATGCATTCATGAAATTTGTAATTAAGCATGTTGTAAAACTCCCCCTAAAATAATACGTTGAGTGCTTCAAATTAAAAAAAAAATCTAAACTAATGAATCCACTTTGACAAAAACTCCATGAATGCAAAGATTACTAAGAGCTTGAATCTGATCCCATAAAACTTGTCTTTGAACAGTACAATTGAATGCACGCACCACTGTGATCAAACAATTAATAAAATAAACCGTGGCTATCAGACACTTCACACTGAACATATTTGTTGGGGATTCACCACTCTGATGGTTGTAAGTGTTTGGGTCAAAAGTTGGTTTTGTCATGGAATTCATTATATCTTCGGTCGATTACAATAAATTCAAAGAGATAGTCTTTTTATAAGACTTCTTTTACACAACAAAAGGAAAATTACAACTCTTGAGAAACAAACGCAGGACCGTTGTTTGGATCGCTGCTTGCGTGGGATCTTTGCCTGTGCCGGGAGCGCTTTGACTCGTGGACCACCAAATCACAGATTCTGATTGAACCGTGAGGGGTTTAATGATTCTTCCTTCGTTTATCGAAGTAAGAATTTGAAGCGAATATCTTATCGATGTAAGATGTTCACTCTTCCAAAGATCAAGTCTGAGCTTAGATCTCTAGGACTCGCTAGAAGCTTCTTGAGGATGTTTGTGAAGAAGGAAGACTCTCTCTCTTGCTCTAATTCACCAAAACTCAAGGCTCTCTGCTCTAATCTCTCTGGAAAATGCTCAGCCCCTGTCAATGATGGCTATAGGGGGGTATTTATAGCCTCCTTAGACGATAACTGAAGAAATAGCTGGTCAATAACTGTCTCTTTAGGCGCGGCAGCTGATGCTGTCGCGGCTAAAGGGCGCGACAGTCGACACTGTCGCGGCCAAAGAGCGCGGCAGTCGACACTGCCGCGGCTAAAGGGGCAGTTACACCCACGTTCATACGTGTTTGAAACAGTTCTCCCACGACCTTTAACCACCTTTTTCGTGGTTTAACTGCTTTTCCACATCAGCACACGTTCTATTTCTGATACTCCGCCACGTGGACTTTAAATAATCATCAGATAACTGTATTATAACTGCTGTAGCATCCTGCTTTAACTGCCGCGGCACCATAGGTTGCAGCGGTTAAGCCGCGACACCATAGGCTGCCGCGCCTTAGCCGCGGCACCTTGGTCTGCCGCGCCTTAGCCGCGGCACCTTGGTCTGCCGCGCCATAGCCGCGGCACCATGTCCTGCCGCGCCGCCATATGTTGCTTGATGACGTGTATATTGTTCTTCTATATCGTCTTGAGTGGTGTTTGAATGTCTGTAAGCATTTTTTGACGCCTACATGTAGTTATTCATTTCTATCGATAATTATAACCTTATTGGAGGAATTCACAATTCATGCACTCTGTTTTTGCAGTATTAGAGGTTATTATGTATATGCTTGTTTTTTGCTAGTTAGTTATTACAAATCTAACTCATTTTTTGTATTATTACATTGACGAATTGGTGAACCATTCGCTAATATTCTAATTCAATCGTTTTTCGGTGAATGGTTTCTGTAAATCTTCTTATGGATAAGTTATTCACAAAATATCAACTATTCATGGATCTTATGAAGCGTCACTATTTATGTTGGAAGCTTGGTTTTTTGCTAGTATGTAGTGAAACACAGCACATGTTCTTTCTACCTACTTTTTCTTTTACTAGTTACTGCAAAAATCTAGCTCATTTTTTGTATTATTACATTGACATATTGGTGAATCATTCACTAATATTCTCATTCAACTGTTTTTCGGGGCATGGTTTCTGTAAATCTTCTTATGAATAAACTATTCACAAAATATCAGCTATTCGTGGATCTTATGAAGCATTACTCTTTATGTATATTGGAAGCTAAGGAAAAAAAATAGTACTATCTATCAGTGTCAATAAAGCATTCAGAATTTATTTGTATAGCGTGACCTATTTTTTCCATAACATTCTATTCATTAGTTGAGGTTGCTGTTGGTTGTAATTCTACTGAAATTTTCCTGCCGTAACATGTATTGAGTTTTACATCATTACAATATATCGTCTTCCAGTCTAGATGTTCTGGTAGATTCTTGGATGTTTAGACATTCAATATCTAAGTCATGAATCATGTACTGAATGCTAAGTAGAAATTACCTATGCTGTTTGATTCTTCTGGTGCTTTCTATGAAATTTTCTCAAGCAATTAACTTCTTGCAGAACCGGCTGCTTGCAATGAACTATATAAATGAGGGCTCTGATGATAAGCTTTTTGAGGCTCACAGGTATTTCTAACTCTTTACAAAGTATATATGCTTTCACAGGATTCCCATTCTGTTCGGTACCTGTTTATGGATATTTCTATAATATGAGATTATCAGTGTATTTAGAAGTCAATTTTCGATAATAGTTGGTTTTTATTCCAAACCTGGTAAGATTCAATCTAGGAGTTAGCTTTTATGTTTGAACTTTTTAAGCTTCATTTTAGATGAATCAACTCTGTTTGATTTTGACTATAGAAGAGGTGATACTTTTCGATCTCATTGAGCGCTTCTATTGTTTTGCTGCCCATCTATTGTGACAGGTTTATGCCACACGATTGCTTTGTCAAGTTAATGAATGTTATTGAATGCCTTGGGAATTAGAAATATTTGTCGAACTGTTCTTCAAATTCGTTGGTCCAAAAGAAATCTGATGAGAGCCTGATAAAATTTATATTGTAGTTAATGCATTATGATTCATTGTTGCTCTGCCGTGTCATATTTAAAAGGATGGAAAACCTGTTTTATAGATGCTTTGCAAATGAGAACTTTTTTTTGCCATTGCAAATTTCCTTGGTTCATTAAGATCGGAGTGTCAATGTTATGGATATCCTCTCTGTTTTTTTGTCTCTTTTTGTGTAGCTGTATTGTGAATTTTTTTATGTTCCACGAAGTTCCTGTATTGAAAGATGCATATATGGTACTTTTGATCAAATTATCTTTGTTGGAAACAAATGTAGAACCATGTCTTTTTAGATGGAATATCTGATTTCTTGCTAAAATTTTCTTATTGAAGTACCATCCGAATGAAATCTGCATGCAATAGACACGAGTGTTATATAGCAGCCTGTTAATAATTTATTTTGATAATTCTGCAACTTCATTATTACTTGTTTAGTTGTTTACAAGTTCAGTGCTGTCATTTTGACTTCAACACGGAGTGAACATATAAAACTACTTCATTTTTATAGCATGCCTGTTAATCATGAAAATGATTATGAGTTTTGTATACCACACCTGTTAATCATTTTTATTGGTAATTCTGCAACTTCAGTATTTAGTTGTTTACAAGTTCAGTTCTGTACTTTTAATTTCAACAGGGAATGAGCACATAAAACTACTTCAGTTAGTGGTACAAATTCATAGTAGTTTGACTGACTGATGTTTAATTGTTCCTCAGGGAATGGGGAATGCGATTTATGAAGCTATACCCTCAATATACCAGTTGGGATAATCCTAAAGATATGGAACGCCCATTAGTAATTGGATATGTGTCACCTGATTATATTACTCACTCTGTATCATATTTCATTGAAGCACCTCTCTTTTTCCATGATTACACAAATTACAAGGTGATTGTGTACTCTGGTGTTGTAAAGGTATGGTTATTTCTCTCATGCACAAGTGTCACCACTTAGTTAACTTGAAGTCTTTTTTCAAGTATCTTGAAGTCTTTTTTCAAGTAATTTACAACACGTCTTTAAGTCAAGTTTATGGGGGCTGTATGATATGTAAACCAATCAATTTTTCTACTTCTACTTTTTTTTTTCTTTCAATCATTTTCAGTAAATTATAAAGTCTCTGTCCTTTACGCTTAAACATAGTTAGTGTCCTTGTGTTTTACTGTGATATTGTAGGCAGATGCCAAAACCCATAAATTCAAGGACAGGGTGCTGAAAAAAGGAGGGCTATGGAGGGATATATATGGGATTGATGAGAAGAAGGTTGCTAGCATGGTTAGGGAGGATAAAGTTGACATACTGGTGGAGCTTACTGGTCACACTGCAAATAACAAGCTAGGGATGATGGCCTGCAGGCCTGCTCCCATCCAGGTACTGCCCTTATTTAAATTCACATCTGTATCACCTTCTCTGCGTTTTTGTTCCTCTTGATATTTTTAAAATTTATAAATTTAGCATCCTTGTCATTTATCATGTTTCCTGGAATTGCTTGAGTCGCTTTGTTTTTTACATACATCCATGTAAAACATGCTCCTTAATGACCTTCACCTCCACAGTTCTTATTTACACTCATACCCCTTGAAACCTCCAGTCTTGTGGCCTAAACACTGTCTGCGAGTAAACTCAACTAGAAAGTGGCAGTAAACTGCCAAATTTTGCTGAGATACAACAGGATATAGGTTGTTCTTCTATTAAAGAGCATCCTTTTATTTTCATGGATATTTCTACTGTGAAGCTATATTAATGTCAGTCATATATTGGAGATGACACTTTTTGTTGCGTACTTGCCATTCCTTTTGTACCTTTTATCATTTTTATCTTCATGTCTATCATGTTGCTTCCATGTCTGCATGCCAACTTGTGCTTCTTAGCTTATTTCCTCATGTTAAAATGAACTAAGACTGAAGATCCGCATGTAATTATTTCCAATAACTACTTTTAACAATGATAATTTTCTTTATGAATTTTGCCTCTCATAGTTACTTTTTCTCCCACTATGCTTTCTTAGGCAACATGGATTGGTTACCCAAATACAACCGGTCTGCCAACAATTGATTATAGAATCACAGATGCACTGGCTGATCCCCTTGACACAAAGCAGAAGTGAGTTGAACTTTTGAGATTTGATTTTAAATTGTATAGATAGAGATATTCTGACTAATTGTGGCTGCAGGCATGTTGAGGAGTTGGTTCGTTTGCCTAAATGTTTTCTCTGTTATACGCCTTCGCCGGATGCTGGTCCTGTTTGTCCCACACCAGCTCTTTCTAATGGTTTTATTACTTTTGGGAGCTTCAATAATTTGGCAAAGGTAGTGTTATTATTGAATGTCTCTTTTAAAAATGTTTAGCTAAACTGAATTACAGCTTTGCGTTGTTCATCTTTTTTTTTCTGGCAGATAACGCCAAAAGTATTAAAAGTTTGGGCAAGGATATTATGTGCTGTTCCTAACTCCCGGCTTGTTGTCAAGTGTAAGCCTTTCTGTTCTGATAGTGTAAGACAGAGATTTCTTTCAATTTTGGAGCAATTAGGACTGGAGCCGCTACGTGTTGATCTTCTGCCTCTAATTCTTCTCAACCATGACCATATGCAAGCATATTCACTAATGGATATCAGGTAGATAGCTGAATCTTTTTTTTTTGTCCCCATCAACTGTCTCGTGTTCTTCATGCTTTAACTATTTGTCATTCTTTTAGTATTTGTGTTGTACCTTTTAACATCTATGGAACTTTTACTATATATCGATGTCTTTTCCGATATATTTATTATTTTGGTCTTCTTCAGTATAATAAAGAGTTCTGTTGGTCTGGCATTTTATGGGTTTTATAGGATCCAAACTAGTAAATTGGTTAGTTTTTAAAGTTTTGTCTATTTGATACTGACTTTTTTTCCATATCAAGATGGTCATTGTTTATCAATGCCTATTTCGCCGAAATCAAACGAGAATTCTCGTTCTTGGAAATAGCCGAAAGTCTTGAAAGTCAATTGACTTTTAACGTGACCACTCAGGTCTACTTATAACAGCCGTCAAGCTGTTAAGAGGGCACGGGATTCTAGGAAGTGAATCCCAACCATCTCTAAAACGCGAAGCTCACAGTCGCGTTCAAATTTCACAAGTGCAAAGCTCTAGCTAACGTCACGAAGGCTCGAACCTCGCGTTTCAAATATCAAACGCGAAGGTCACCCCAGCGTTGCAATTCTTCTAAACGAAGAACATGCACTTGTAAGCTCACTTAACAGAGTGTTAATCAAGACCTCTGTGTTTCTTCAGCAGAATTCAAATTCTCATTGGGTTAATATTACACCCCAAAATCCACTTATCAATTCTCATTAATAGAATGATAAGTCTCCAGCTCATTGTCAATTTATTAGCTCTCTTTAACAGAGCAATAAATAACTTGTTTTCAATGGGGTAACAAATTCCCCCAAAACTTTGTATCACAATTCATCGCTCCGATGATAAAACACATAGCAGTTCTCCCCTGTGAGACGCTATAATATTCTTTCCCCACAAGTGTCATGTTAAAATCACACATCTGACAAAAATCAGCTTATCGATTGTTTGCGTCAAAAGTTGGTTTCGTTGTGGAATTCATTATATCTTCGGTCGATTACAATAAATTCAAAAGAAATAGTCTTTTTATAAGACTTTTTTTACACAACAAAAGGAAAATTACAACTTTTTAGAAACAAACGCAGGATCGTTGTTTGGATCGCTGCTTGCGTGGGATCTTTGCCTGTGCCGGGAGCGCTTTGACTCGTGGACCACCAAATCACAGATTCTGATTGAACCGTGAGGGGTTTAATGATTCTTCCTTCGTTTATCGAAGTAAGAATTTGAAGCGAATATCTTATCGATGTAAGATGTTCACTCTTCCAAAGATCAAGTCTGAGCTTAGATCTCTAGGACTCGCTAGAAGCTTCTTGAGGATGTTTGTGAAGAAGGAAGACTCTCTCTCTTGCTCTAATTCACCAAAACTCAAGGCTCTCTGCTCTAATCTCTCTGGAAAATGCTCAGCCCCTGTCAATGATGGCTATAGGGGGGTATTTATAGCCTCCTTAGACGATAACTGAAGAAATAGCTGGTCAATAACTGTCTCTTTAGGCGCGGCAGCTGATGCTGTCGCGGCTAAAGGGCGCGACAGTCGACACTGTCGCGGCCAAAGAGCGCGGCAGTCGACACTGCCGCGGCTCGGCAGTTGATGCTGTCGCGGCTAAAGGGCGCGACAGTCGACACTGTCGCGGCCAAAGAGCGCGGCAGTCGACACTGCCGCGGCTAAAGGGGCAGTTACACCCACGTTCATACGTGTTTGAAACAGTTCTCCCACGACCTTTAACCACCTTTTTCGTGGTTTAACTGCTTTTCCACGTCAGCACACGTTCTATTTCTGATACGCCGCCACGTGGACTTTAAATAATCATCAGATAACTGTATTATAACTGCTGTAGCATCCTGCTTTAACTGCCGCGGCACCATAGGTTGCAGCGGTTAAGCCGCGACACCATAGGCTGCCGCGCCTTAGCCGCGGTACCTTGGTCTGCCGCGCCTTAGCCGCGGCACCTTGGTCTGCCGCGCCTTAGCCGCGGCACCATGTCCTGCCGCGCCTTAGCCGCGGCACCATGTCCTGCCGCGCCGCCATATGTTGCTTGATGACGTGTATATTGTTCTTCTATATCGTCTTGAGTGGTGTTTGAATGTCTGTAAGCATTTTTTGATGTCTACAGTAAGCTTCACAACGAGGAAAAATATCTCCATATAATCCACTCATTCTCGCCGTTGGAACTGTTGGGGATTTGAAATAATCAAATCAAATCTGTACCCTTCCGGATCTTATGTTTGAGAGTTGAGCAAGAAAGAAATTCACCACAAATCAAAGATAAAAACTTGTAGGAAAGTAAACAAGAAAGAACACACCAGATTTAACGAGGTTCGGCAACGTGCCTACGTCCTCGGGAGTCACACTACACAATTCTTTGATTACTTGAAGAAGATTACAATGCTTGCAATTGATCTCTCTCTCTCTCTAAGATTTTTAATCTCAAAGAGACCTCAAAACCCTCTTTTTTCGTGCTCTTTTTCTCTCTTAAACCCTAAAGGGACGTGTTTCTATTTATAACAAAACATAATCCCAAACAGATTAAAATTCTAAAATGAGTCTGCCATACCCTGGTGTGGCACAGACCACACCCATGGCAGACATGGCAGACTCTGTCATACCCTGGTGTGGCGCAGACCACACCCATGGCAGACAGGGCAGATTCTGCCACACCCTGGTGTGGCGCAGACCACACCCATGGCAAACATGGCAGATTCTGTCACACCCTGGTGTGGCACAGACCACACCCATGACCTGTCTTGAATTTTTATGTAATTATTGATTTTGATTCTAGGTTTGGGTCTCCACTCTCAAGACCAACATGAACCCCTTCACAACTAATATGACCTTGTACCTCTTACTTCCATCACTCTTCTGCTTGACCCGATAGATTCATTTGTTATGTAAGGTTTTCTTCTACGTAGGTAGCTGGGTTAACTCTCATGTCTCATTAGTGTGTAGAGAATCCAATATTGACCAGATGCATTAATAATAGACACCTGAATTTCAAGAGCATCCTACATAAGCCAGATCCTACCATTTATAGCTTGCTGATAATTCCCAAACCAATTCCAATCCTTGAAGAACTTACTCCTTACCTTGGGAGCATATTATCTCTAACTCTAGTTTCCAACAAAGCAAAGAAACAAAAATAATATTTTTTTGGCATTTTCTTCCTCTTCTTTGCCATTTCCTTTGAGCAGAGCGCATGTTAGCAATGTTATGACAAATTTCCCAGGATAAGCTAATATCAATCACACGAGAGCACGAAAAATATCAAAAACACACAAACATAAAAATATACGTGGTTCGGCTTGTAGCCTACATCCACGGGCGAAGGAGGAGAAAAGCTTTATTAATTGTGAGGAATACAAAGCGGATCTCTCAATCTCTCAGACCCAAATCACACCCCAAAAGCCTAATACAACTCTCAACTAAAGGAACAAAAGAGAAGAATATCAAATAGGCTTCACAAAAGAATTCACTCTTCTTGATTGGTGCTCTGAAGATTGATGATTATTATTGGATTGATAGACTGTTTTTATATAGCCTTGAAGATCTCAACTCCTTGCTTTTTAAGGAATAAGAGTTCTAATAGGAATAGAAGTATATATGTCCTAAAACCCAGCAGGAGTCCAAGTAGAAATAAACCTCTAATATGATTGGTTGTGTAAAGTCTAATGTAAATAGGACTCTTGATCAAAATAAACCAACCTAAAAAGGGACTCCTAAAGCAATATGGATTTGAGTATTTGAGACAACCTATAACAAGCAGGTGATCTATCGACCTCATAGAGCTACCCGTTTGTTAAACCATTGTGTTTTAATTTATTTCCCTAATTTTGCACGTGAATTAGATATACAAGGAGGTTTATGAATGATTTTACATTTGCAACCGTCAAGGTAAAAAGATATGTTTTCATTTTTATTTCTTACATTGCGTTATTATTGTTTTCTCTTCTTTAATTATTTTTCTCGTTGATTATGTAGGGTGGTGGACACAATGGTTATCTTAATTCTTGTTAGAGGGGTGTTAGGGACACACCCTTGGGCACACCACCAACCACACTCCCCCTCTATCTACAGTGCAGGGGCCCCACATGTGATTTTTTTTAAAAAATCACATGTGGCGCCCCTACACTGTAGATAGAGGGGGAGTGTGGTTGGTGGTGTGTCCAAGGGTGTGCCCCTATCATTTCTTTTCTTGTTAAGTTGAAGCAGAACGAACAGTAAAGGGTTACTATTTTTTAAGAGCAAACATGAGTTTTGTTTATTTAAAAATAATAATAAATAGACGTATTTTTGTTGTTTTAGTTTAAAGCACTGTTAAATATTGTGCAAGTCCGAGTCGGACAAAGTCTTTGTTTACTTTAACAATTGGGCTCCTCAAAACATTGCCCAAGCCTGGAACAACCAGCCCAAAGCCCACTTCATAAACACGAGAATTTGGGAAGGAGCACGGTTTCGGGTTTGTATCAACTCACCCGAAATCCAACTAAGATCTCACCTCAAGCTAGGGATCGCAGAAAACTCGGTGTCGGCTCGGTTTTTTAGGGCTTTTACTTAAAAAACTATCTTAACTTTTGCCCAAATTACAACCTATCATATTTATTATTTATTTTATGTAAAACACCTCAGTTTACTTCCATGCTTTCAATGTCACGCATTTGCCGCTGTTCAGCCAAAAAAATTTTACAAACACCTATTGCAAAAAAAAATATTGACTAGCTTAGTAGACGTAGTACTGTATAGGAAAACCCCCCCAACCACATCCCAAACCACACCCCCTCTCTCATATGCTACAGTGCACCGGGCCCCACATGAGATTTTAAAATCCCATGTGGGGCCTTGTGTACTGTAGCATATGAGAGAGAGGGGTGTGGTTTAGGATGTGGTTGGGGGTGTGCCCCTAGTGCCACCCTACTGTATAGGAGGCATGCACATTCAAAACTGCTGTTTTCCACGTGGAAATTGGAGGAAGAGGATTGGAGTCGTACAAATATTATTACTATTATTATTATTATTATGAGTGGTTGGAGGGTAATGTATAGGAGGCGGTTAGG